ACATCAGTTGGCAATGTGCGTCCTGTGCCCACCACATACTGTCTGAACTGATATGCTTCCTGTGACCAATCGATAAGCTCTGAGGAACGATGAACACAGATTTTAGATCGTCTCTGCCCCCAGGGGGATGCAATTTGCCCACAAAATTTCAGTGCGCCACCTTTCAAAGACGACCTACCAGGCGTAAGCGACTAGGAACAGCGGTAAACCACTTTAAATTAAGCTACTTCAAACCGGAGTGTTGGGAAAATGAACATCACCGGAAGTAGTTTGCATTACTTCACATAAAATATGTTATGGTGCAATGTACAATTAAATGATACGATCCTCATCCAGGTATAAGGTAAGCAGATTCCTGCAAATTCCAGTTAACGACTGGGTTTTGTGGGGACTTTGGAGCCCGCGCATTGCACATTGTGGCCACTTGGAGATTTGTGTCCTTACTCAGTGCGTCAGAATGTAAGGGGGCGAAATTACCGTGATATAGTTAAAGCAGTCTTAGACGTTATGTGTGAATCATCAACGGTGTTCAGCCTTTTGCATCCAAGTGATTAAGGCAAGCTGCCGATGGCAACAAAATCTTCTGGTCATTGCTACTACCCAATAGTTTGTGTCATTCGGGGTATAGCGCAGAGAGTGAAATTGTGGATAAGGACGGGACTTTTTATGGTCACTCATTGCATTGTCCAATAATATCCTAGTGAAAATCAGTGGTGTCCATATTACATTATGGAGCAAAAAAGATAAGCTGCATAATGAAAGTCAAATGAAACAACCGCACAAATCTAACACAGGCGAACCTAACAGCAGGCATTGGTTTACGCGTCTATACGAAACAACTAAAACTAAAACTAAAACTTAAAGTAAAATCACGGGCAAGAAACATTTTCTCCTTGTTCAGTGAATGGGTGTGCCACGCACTATTGACACAGCCATGTGTCCACCACGTGCCGATCAAGTCACGTGCCGGGATAACCAGGAGCTGGTAAAAAGTGCGGACGGTGTCCTGTCGACCCCGAGCTGGTAACGAATGCGGACGGTATCCTGTCGACCCAGAGCTGGTAACGAGTGCGGACGGTGTCCTGTCGACCCGGAGCTGGTAACAAGTGTGGACGGTATCCTGTCGACCCAGAGCTGGTAACAAGTGCGGACGGTGTCCTGTCGACCCGGAGCTGGTAACAAGTGCGGACGGTGTCCTGTCGACCCGGAGCTGGTAACAAGTGCGGACGGTGTCCTGTCGACCGGAGCTGCTGGTTAACCGAATGCGGACGGTGTCCTGTCGACCCCGGCTGTGCGGAGCGGGCGACGCACTCCGCCAGGCGTGCGCCGGACTCAGCCGTGTGGCTCCGGGGTACCTGAGACGGGGTCTGCTGATGCAGCGTGGCCGGCGCCGCCGCCGCTGTCACGTGATTGCCGGTGTTGCGGAGGCGGTGCGGCCGCTGATGTCACGTGACTGGCGGTGCCGTAAGAGGCGGCGCGCCCTCCGATGTCACGTGACTGTCGTTCCGCGTGAGGCGGTGCGGCCGCCGATGTCACGTGACCGCCGGTGCCGTGAGAGGCGGCGCACCCTCCGATGTCACGTGACCGCCGTTGCCGGGCGAGGCGGTGCGGCCGCCGATGTCACGTGACTGCCGGTGTCGCGTGAGGTAGACCGGCCACCGATGCCGCGCGACTGCCGGTACTGCGGAGGAGGAGTGGCCGCCGATGTCGTGTGAAATCATGCCGAACGCGAGAGAAGCTTTGGCTCGGCCAAACCGCCTGGAAAACGTGGCCGCTTCGTTGCTTTTGTACTGCGGTGCGGCCTGGCTTTAGCCATGGCAAAAGCTTTGCGTGCTAATATGTATCGAAGATTTGTGATAAAAAGGGGTTTATGTTGCTTTTGGAGATAGAATAACACACCGTCCTGGTATTGGTGTTTTTAGCCTAAAAATTACTTTTTGTAGGAGCGTGTCGTAGTCAAAGCTGAAGAGCGTATCAGCGACGGGCAGGAACCTTGAAATGAGTTTGTTTTCAAGTTCAACAACAATATTCTGCACTCTGTGAGAGCCATTTGGGGGATGCAAGGGAGCATAGCGTCAAACCTATTCCAGTACTACAGTGCTATGACTAGATGAGAAGAAGCATCTTTGCATAGAGGCGCCTCCACGGACAAGATCAAGAGGGCTTATGTCACGTGAAACATCATGGTTTGGTGCGTTCGCTGCACTCCATGCTGCGTTCAGCTCAGTGCAGTGCACAACATGTGACAGACCCCATGTAAGAGCTGAGTCGAGGGACGACAAATGAGGTTGGGTATCGCGGCACGCGGGGACCGTGGCCACCAACAGAGGGTCATCAGCTGATAGCAGCGGTGATGGGCCACGCTTCAATCAAATGCCCAGTCATGCTCCTTTGGAAAACTAAATGGGCTTATGACACATGCCGTCAAAGCATGCTCTAAAGAGAGCGGCATTGTTCACCGCGCATAGCAGCATTGTGACCGACAAAAATATCCATTAATTACTAAGCCTCCCATCCCCACTGTCACAAGAGGACTCTGGCTCAGCTTGTTCCAAAAATTTGAAACTCGTTTTCGCATTTTCTCTTATCACCTTGTTTCGCATCTCATGGATGCGCCCGTGAATTTTCTGTATTTACATGTCACCACCACACATAAATTTTGACGTCATTGTTTAACGATATCTGGTGGTTGCGTTGAAATTTATTGATAAGCATGACAACTATGTCTGATCAAAAGTTAATTTACAACTTTGGGTCCTACCCATTCACTTTGCCACTCCTTTTGGGAAGTGCTTATGTTTTCTTTTTCGATCTTGTCGATAGCAGTCAATTGTCGTTTATTTTTCCTAATCAGCCCAGCAGCTCCCAAGATCCCACGAGGGGGGATCCCACCCCTGAGTGCGAACAAAATATGTACTGAATAGGATAGGTTTTAAACTAGAGCTCGTTCGAAATACAGTAGCAGGTATACCACAATCCCAAGGTAGCGGGTCCAAACGTCGTGTTCGGCCGACCGGGCCAGCCGAGGGGCCGTGTGCGAAGGCCAGGTATCCGCTTCTGCCGACCGGACCAGCCGAGGGGCCGTGTGCGAAGGCCAGGTATCCGCTTCTGCCGACCGGACCAGCCGAGGGGTCGTGTGCGAAGGCCAGGTATCCGCTTCTGCCGACCGAACCAGCCGAGAGGCCGTGTGCAGTGACCAGGCTTGAGGGCATGGTATTAATAGCATCTCATCAGAAGCGCCGGGTCTTACCCGTGACGCACGGTAACAAATTGGCCAAGGTTATGCGAAGGTCTGTTCTAGAACTGGTCACCGCGAGCCACAACTTGTGTTATGCTTTGGTTAACCCAGACTCACTAGCGCGGCCCAAAGGGTCACATGGGGCGTGCACACAAAGCAACCTCCGATGCACGTGTCCCCCCCCCCCCAAATCATGGCGTGTATTTATATGTGTGAGACTTAATGGCGAAAATTAAAAGTTCCAGGTAGACACATCAAAGTCAGGATAACGAGAACGTGTGATGCTCTTTGGGCACAGAAGACATTTCAGCGCACGTTTGATTTCCTATTTCGGACGACTTCTGTGAACAGTTTTAGTTGTAAGTCCTTTCGTTGCAAAATCTTGCGTACGCCACAATGGGGGGGGGGGGAGATTTCTCCCCACCCCGCCAGAATCTGTAATATGGAGATCAGGAAACTTGCTTTGGATCAAAATTTCATTCGTTTCCACGGGCAGTGACTGTCTCGCAGAACAGCCGTAATTCAGTGACAAAGTCAGCGAATACCTGGTGGATATACAAACGATATGCGGCAGAAGCAATTGTGTTCGTCGCCAGGGCAAGCCAGAATTGATAACCCGTCATATGCTAAATACTGTGCATATTAGTGTATGTAGGGTTTACATTCTCTTCACAGTGTGATCGCACTGTAAATATGTTTTGGACTCCGGCGCCAAAGCCCCCCCCCCCTCCCCCCCTCACCACGTCGTAAATCCTGGTAGCCGCTCTGGTCGCAAATTTCAAATCCTTCTGGCGCCGGACAGCTGTGGCAACGGTGTCTGTCGGGCCCAGCCGTTCGCAGTCATGTGTCACTTCAATGACGAGGAGCTGAAGACTCTGTCTCTGGCCTGGTCTAGCCAAGTGAGGGAAGGACACGACACGGTGGCCAAGCGTCTCTGGACTGGCTCAAGGAGACATCTCGTTATGATGTGCTGACGCAACTGAACCGAAGTTAAGTAGGTAAGCCATGTGAGTTGTTAAGTGCATTTGTGCGGAGCATTATACGTATAGATATGGCAGTACTCTTAGCCTTATTGCTCGTAAAATAACCACAAGGGAGAGATGGCTGTAGTTATATTTTGGCCACACATCTTTATCAAAACGAAGATGAGCAGTGAACTCACATTAGAGCTGTTTGAAAACGTACTGAGGATACCAAAATGAAGATGATAAGTAGGACTACACACTTCTGTATCGATAAAGGCGCGTAACCGAAACGCCAAGCAGCTATCTTTCCTTTCTCCTGACTATTCTACAAGGGAAAGAGTTAGCAGTACTTTTCTATCTAGAAATGAGTAAATACCGAAATGAAGCAGTAAAAACAAGAAGGACTTGAGGTGATAGACGTCACTTTATCATAGGTTTCGTACTATATGTGACCTAGACATAAGAAATGAAACCTGTCGAAGTTATATATCATTAATTTCAAATACGCACATCTAACGCAGTTACAGACTGCAGGGACATGTGCAACGTTCTGACCTGCTGTTTTCGCCCAGACTGCTCGGTGTGCTTGAATGTTTACGGCTCGTCAAATAGCTCATCACTGCTCGCAATCTGTTTTTGAACACTTCTCTGTCCGGCGCAGGAATGAGCGGGCACTTCTGGCCTGGGGAGTTTCGTGATGTGCGGGCTTCGACGGCTGGATGCTCACGGAGTATGATCAGTCCACCGTTGCCACCAGCTGTTGGTCGTGGCTGACGCGTGTCCTGCTCCGTCCACAGCAGGAGGGCAGCTGGCGACTGAACCGCTCCAGCTACTACCAAGAGGGCTGGCTGGCCACCGGCAACGCCCGGGCCATCGCCGGCGTCACCTTCACCTCCTCGCACAGCCGGAAGCACACCGACCTGCCCGTCCGAACCAACTACAACCTGCGCGGACACCGCAGTCAGGTGCAGGGAAACACTGCTAGCCATTCACGGCGGCAACAGAGCCGCACCGAGTTGTGGGAAGGGGGCCGGGGCGAGAGACGGGATTTTTTGTTATTTCTTTCCAGTCTACCCCCCTGCAGCCAATGTTGGAGGGGGGGGGGACACGCTGTTCCTCTAGGGCACGTGCTCCTGGCTCTTCCCAACTGCATGCGCGACGCTTGTTTTGCCAATACAGTAGTGACATGTGTACGGTAGTGACATGTGTACGGTAGTGACATGTGTACGATAGTGACATGTGTACGGTAGTGACATGTGTACGGTAGCGACACAATCCGAGTGGAATCTGAAAGAACCATTCAAGACCAATCGGGCACTTTTTTTAATCTGACCGATGTAGGAAGCTCACCATATTAACTGTTTTGAAGGGTTCAAAGATTCAGAGAAGTATTCCATTGCTGGCGGGGTTTACTCTGCATGGCAAGGGTCCATTGTCGCCCTTCCTTCGTCAGGTCATGGTTTTCATAATGTAAGTGTGATCTTCTCAGCTAAAGATCACTTTTGAGTGAAGTTTTGTTGCAGCTTTTTAAATGCTGTTAAGAAAGAATTGCCTGAAAAGTTAATCATGTCAGTCTTTCATCACTCAGTCTTTCATCATTCAGTCTTTCATCACGCATCAGTCAATCAGTCTTTTAAACATCGCTTTTTACATCGTCTATTTTTTAGTTTTTGTTGTTAGTTGTCTTATGCCGTGTGTGGATGCCAAAATTTCAGTATTTTGTGGGAACATTTGACGCGCGTGGCCGTGGTCGCATTGCAGTTGATGTCTTATCGCCCCTTCCGTGAGGTGTATTATGGTACTTCCTTACAGAGAGGTTGTTGCGCCACCAATATGGCAAGCAGAACAAAGCCTGCATTCTTTGTTAGAGCAAGATAATTGCGTTTCGACATTTCTGCTCCGAATGAGCAGTTTTCATAAAAATATCGCCAGTTTGCTATTTTTGTATGCATATCCAATCTAAGTATAAGCCTGCGTAGTCATTTTACCTTTTTCTACACCAAAGTCCTCAATGATTTCTCGTTGAGTTTGTTGGCTGAATCTCGATTTGTCTAGTTTGTTGGCAGTAAAATAAGAAGCACAGTAATTTATGTTGTAGTTGGATCGGTGTTTATGTTTCTTGATGACGGTTTCAGTGTTTAACTAGCAAGTAATTTATGTCCCTGTCAACCCCACAATTCGAGTAACCGTTGTTTACTAGCATTTGGTGGCGCCGTTCAGTTCAGCGTGCAAAAACTCAAAGCTCAAACATGTACGCAATGCCCTGCGAACTACTGCTCAAATAATGCCGTTTGTATATCTTACTTGACATTCACAGGCGTGCGAACATTGTGCATTCTAATTTTATAGACCTTCCTATGAACGGTTGTTGCAAAGTCGAACATGCAAGGTTTTTCATAGTGTTAAAATTTATTTAGGATAAAACATAGGTAAGTATTAAATAGAAAACTAAAAAACAAGAAAAGAAAATAACTTGATGATATTCCGCCACGGCAGCGGACCAGGAACCCCTATCAAGCAAGTCCTGTCGTGATGCATTTGCAGGTCTAAGCGCCGAAGTGCTCTACTACGACCCGTTATACGCTGAACTACTCTCCACGGAATGGGCGCGTTTGTTTTTTGCAAGCAGGCACACCCACACACCATCTTGGTCATTAGCGCGTGCCCCTCGCGATGAGGCAGCACTTACCTTTGCTCTTATTAATGTTGCAGTCGAGATGCTTTTAAACTGGGAATTGTTTTCTATTTGTCATGAAATGTTCTTAAAAGCACAAAAATGGGCATGAAGGTACGGCCTGGTAATGTAACTCTTACAACGAAATGTCATGATCCCGCAAGGTCCTCCTGAGATGTCATCTGCGTAAAAACTTTTCATTTTATTTCAGTCATCTATTTTTCTATACCTACTTTCTCTTCCTCGCTCTAACGCTCGTTTCTCTTCGCTTCTCTTCTCTTCTCTTCTATTCCCTTCTCTTCTCTGCTCTTCTCTTTTCTTGTCTTCTATTCTATTCCCCTCTCTTCTCTCCTCTTTTCTTCTCTTTTCTTCTCTTCTCTTCTTTTCTCTTCTTTTTTCTTCTCTTCTCTGTTCTTCTCGTTTCTTATCTTCTCCTCTTGTCTCTTCTCTTTCCTTTTCTTCCTTCTCTTCTTCCCTCGTTTCTTTCCTTCCTTTTTCTTCTCTTCTCTTCTCTTGTCTTCTCTTTTCTTCTCTTCTCTTCTCTTCTCTTCTCCTCTCTTTTCTTCTTTTCTTTTCTCTTCTAGTTTCTTCTCTTGTTTTCTATTATCTTCTGTTTTCCCTCACCCTTACCAGCATTTTTCCTCTCCATCGCCTTCCAACTGCATTATCTGCAATAAATATCGCACGTTTGTTGCCAATCGTGTGCTAGTATGCTCATACACTAGCCCATGTGCCGCCCATTGCCTATCCACAAGGTCGTGATTAGGCCTCATGCTTGCCTCAGTTCTATGTATTGCAACAAAATGATAGTTCAAGCTATTGTGATAAAACTATTACAAAAATGTATCGAGAGGAGCGCAGGCATTTCCTTTCCTGAAAACGAAGTGTAGACACACGCCGTGCGAAACGGCACGCTTCTAGTGGCCACAACCGACTCAGCACGATTGCGGCCGCCCGCCTCCGGCTCTCAGCCTCATAAATTGGCTCTTGGACAACGTTGGATCAATATGAACCCTGCCCGGGAGAATGGACCCAGCTGAAATACGACAGCGCAGGCCGTCTTGGCCGCCCCTCCGGCGGAGCCACTAGACGTCAATAGAGGCGACAATTGCACGCTGCGCTGGCGGGAGGGGAGACTTGGAAGGAGTGGGAAATTGGCAAGGCGTGCGGATTCGCTTTCTTCCGCGCTATTTCCTGTAGTAATTCGTACGTGCCTGTGTTCGACTTTTTCATCATATGGACAATTACCCGAAGGCTACCAGACATGGAAAAAAGCTTGAAAATTGAGATGACAGGCAATTTATTCATCTATCTATTGACGAGCTAGATAGGTGGAATGCGGCGACGAAATGCAAATACAGGGAGCATTTACGGTCGGTCACGGTCACGGTCGGTGCAACTGAATCACCACATCCACGAGAGACATTGTAGCTTACAGCGACGCGAACACCTCTGAAATTGGAACAGGGTTTGTAGCATGTGGTTGTCCGTATACGGTGAGAAAGTGCCGTTCACCGCAACATCGTCACTGAGACACATGGTGACATATTCCAGTCGCTTCAAGTTTTGGCTGTAACGTGGCCTAATCCGAGTGGGGTATCTAACACAACGGACCATCCCGCACTGATGTCCCCAAATGTGTTCGCCTTCATGACGTCATATCGCCGCCGCAGATTCTCCACGAAGCCATCACTGTATGTTTGTCTATGGGAGGGCGAGTGCGGCAAGACGTGGCGGGGCGGCGGGGGGGGGGGGGGGGCTAAGGTGTCTTTGTTTATCACCCGCGTGTGCCTGTATGCACTTTTTGGCCGCTATTCCTGGAGAGATGACGACTTTTTCAGCCCGACAGACGGCTCTGCATTGATTCGTAAAGCAAACATATACGCTATCAGCTGCCGGGGCTCCCGCGGCGTGGGACGCACGCGGAGTCATGCTCGGAAATGGCGAGGACAGACTTTCCCACACCACAAAAACATCGGCCGCTGCTGCCGTCCCGACCTCGGACAGCAGTGCACCATGATGTGCTTATGGCGGAGCCTTGCAGAATGAGTCAGGCATCGCGGGATACAAACAAAATGAACTGAATGCAGTTATTCATCATCCGAACTTCCACATTCTGACACCACATGCAAGCCAATACTCTAAGGCCAACGTCCAGTTGCATCGATCTAGGCAATATTTGCGTGGTAGACGCATTTTATCAGTATTGGTGAACTAAAGGCCGGTTAATTATCAAGATAAAAAGTCCCAACTGATGGTGGGCGCAAAAGGTCAAGGTCGTTCTTGTTGACATCAGGCTTGTATCAAAAGTGGGCATCGTTTGGGTGATATTTTGCATTTTACTTATTTATGCATTATCTCGAATATATTTGCCGTTCCACGGACCATGCTTCAATAATAAATCAGCAATTTGCATCAAACGCAGGCCTAAAATTAAGCAGAAAATTACGCAATTCGTGAGCTATACACGCTCCAGATTTTACAATCTCTAATCGACCGAGGATGTTCTCTTATCATTTTTGTATCGAGACATTGCAAAATTTTGTGCGGCACGTAAATATCGGGAAACCTGATCAGGACGTCTGAAGATGTCAACTTCTGTATACAATAAAGAATGCGTGGCATAGCTGTCACATTCCCTATGTCGTATTTCTCACGCACATCAAAAATTACGCTGGAATACGGTGTGAAGTATTTCCATTGACGCTAGATAGGACAATCGATCTCCGATCAGTCAGCTGTGCATTCACGAGGCGCTGCTCGATGATGGCGCTGATGATGACATAAATTACTGGGCGCCACCAGTCCATTTTAAACGCGGCGAGCCTGGTGACAGGTCATAAAGAACGTTACGACTAGTGAGAGGATGGCGAGGTGAAACAGACATAAGGAATTTGCGATACACATGCCATCAACATCGCTGATAGTACTCGTTTAATACTGCTGATTATATTGAGCGCAGTTTATCTTCCTGTATGCATGCTAATGTCCGGTTGTCAGCGCCGCGGAGTGTCCGGAGTGAAGGCATTCCCGGCCAGCTGTTTGCGGTTGGGCGGTAGATAACAAGATAGGCCACTAGATTGCACATACTTCATCTTGAACTCTGATGCCTCACGTCACAGAAAAGTAAAGACGAGTTTGTTTAGTCCTTCAGGTGTAATTTCACCATGTTCGCTTTTTTAGGTTGACCTGAAAATAATGGCCATGGGGCTTAGAAGGTTGGTATTTCGTCACCCTACTAGTATCAATTATGACACTTCAGATAAATGACGACAATAGCTGCCTTTCCATATGTCAGAATATGTCTAGAGCCATACAACTTATCTAAAACTATTGTACTGAGCATATTCAACGTTCATTTTCTATTTTAATAATTTTAAGGACAAATTAGATGATGATTTTATTTGATCATATCTCGAAAAAACTTTGGATTTGTTTAGAACAAAACCTTTTTGATATTTATCTTTTTAGCATCGTCTTCTGTTATAGTGAAGTTCTATTATCGCGCTTGCGTATGCCGTTACAATAATTAATGTTATTATTCTTGTCCGCTCTTAGGCTCAAGAGTTAACATGCAATGGAATCAAATCCAGTTTATGGCCATGCTGCAGATGCCAATTCGGTCGTCATCGACTCACAGGACTAAATTATTTTCGCACTGGTGACACTAATTCCTTGTCTTAGTTTTACTGTTATACCGTATGTCGTTTGATCGATAGGAACAGGTACAAGCAAAAGGAATATCCCTGGCCCGAAGCATCGAAGCACATCACATCAGTCCGCACGCTCCGGCAGCTCCCCCGGGTACATTACACGTGACGCGGAGCATTGGCATACTTTGGATCGCCCGTTTCCCCGAACATTCTGATTGCCCGCCGGTGGAGCGAGCGGGCTCGGTCGGACGCGGCGCCCGGTGCTGACGCTCCCGCCACGATGCACGGTCCAGTGCACACGGCAGGCGGCAGATCGCGGCTTCCCAGAGCTCCGAACAGTGCCAGCCGGCAGCCGGAGCAATTTCTGGCGCATCTGCATACCGCCGGAACGCTCGATGTGAAACTATTCCGTACGTTCGAAGCCGTAGGCGGTCCCCACCGCTGTACATAATCACGACGGGTTGAAATGAGTACAGCTGTCTGACTGTCCTAAAGTTTGACCTTTCCTGACAGAAAGGTCTATAAAGTAAAGCAGGGAAGACTAGACTACCGCTCAGCTGACTTTGCTTGACCCTCCGAATTATTGCATGGTCTTCCGCGACAGCCCCCAGCCGATTCCAGCAGACTGACTCCCCACCCGGACCTTGCACCGCGGACTCCTCAGCTGACCTTCCCAGACAATCCCCACAGACTATCACCCAGACTATCCCATGGATGCCAGAGAGACTCCCACCCAGCCGCCACAGCGTGCCTGCTCGCCCGGCCTGCCCCGCCCGACCCAGAGATGATCGAGGTCGGCCCGGCCGCCTGTGGCCGGCGCTGATGGGGAAATGATGGTCCGAGGCTGCGGAGCCGGCCGCTCGGCGCCGCATCCATCATCGGCCTGGACAGCGCCGCCGACCGGCGCACACAAAGCAAGCCAACGGTACAGCTGGAGCAGGGAACAGACCGGCGTCGGCGCGCGGGAACACTGGCGGATGACCGATACGGACAGCAGGGTGGTAGAGGGCGGGGGAGAGGTAGTAACGGACGCGTGCTGCAGCAGCTAGATAGTGATCTTGGTAGGTGTTCACTTTCTCTGTTAGCTTGACAAGGCGACGCTTTTCACTTTTATTAATTGTAAACGCAAGGGAAATGTGCCATGTAAAAACCAGCCATAAACCTGGGTATACTACAAACTACTTCAAACGACGATAGTTTCCAACCAGGTGTAGTCGGTTGATGTTTCACCCTGTTATTGCACGGTCATTTCTTCACATGGGAAAATAAAACAACCAATTCTGTGTGACATTGTGAATGCATCGTTCACCCGGGAACAAAACGGCTTTTCTACTGCAAGCCAAGAGCCCGGGACGGCAAATCGTAACAGTACTGAAATATATTGAACAATTATGAGACGGGCCTCGAGGAAAGAGATGCTCAGAAGTTCAACACACGGAGAAAGATCAATAAGTCAGGCCGAAAATGATATAAAATAATGCGTATTGACTTCAATACAAGGCCGCTCTCTATCACGTCTTTATCAGTGTGCTCTTCAGCTGCAAAGTTAAGATTTACCAATTTATAATCATCACCCCACGTTATTGGCCAACATGTATCCATGCACCATGGTGACATGCTGCCTCCTCCGTGACGACGTCATACCGTGGTGACGTCCTGCCTTCTCCGCACAAACCAGCGGCAAGCATTGCCAGTCCGCAGCACAAGAGCCTCCTCCCCTCCCCGTCTGGCCCCATTCCCTGCCGTTAGAGTTTTGATGACACAGGTCTCCCCTCCCTCCAGATCGTGCTGGTGCGATGGAACGAGCCCTACCAGAAGCTAGCCACGTGTGACAGCTCGGGCATCATCTTCGTCTGGATCAAGTACGAAGGCCGCTGGAGCATCGAGCTCATCAACGACCGCAGCACGCCGGTCACTCACTTCTCATGGTCACACGACGGTCGGATGGCCCTCATCTGCTACCAGGTACGGCCCTGGGCGCCCCCTTAATCCTGCTGTTAGATGTACTAATGCCGTTAAACGGGGCGTCAACTGACAAACGGGCAGCGCTGCACGACTGCGCTCACACCCACAGGGACGCATTCGGGGACTAAGATCACAATCAGATGGAGGCTGGAACCCATCCAACTTCCAGCTGAGTACTCACAAATTGACATTGGGCCTGCCAAACCTGAGACGTGACCCTCATGGGAACTGCAAGAAATTCGGGTCGCGAAGCGCTCAGCACAAAAATGGAAGCGAGTCGCTTAAAGTGAAGGAGCTGTTTCCAAACTTCCGTACTCGTTTGCTCACACAAGATTGCTATAAAATAATTACGAAAGAAAAAACTAAAACTTCAGACAAAGCTTTTCAATATCCTGTAAATATCACCTAAAAGCCGCCGAATCCCGGGTGAACTAAACGATACGGTTACCCTCTGTCGATCTCTTCCTAACTGATGACGCGAATTTATATTTTGTGGAACTATTTTCCCATCAATGCTATTCAAAATTGCCGCACCTTGTGTTGCCGATTCACACCTGGCTTAGGCCTCACGGAGAAAATTGTTTTGTTTTTAGGCAAAGTAGCATCTTGATGGTCTGAACGATGTGTATCATGTTGTTATAAACAGTGGCAAAAAATACATAATTGTCGCTGATATTATGGCGTATATCAATGAACCCCGACCTCTTTACAAGTAACATTTTGAAATGATTTGGCCGGATACTCCACTGTGACTGACGTGCGTAGATACCTGTGGTACAAACGGATGAAGAGAGCACTACACGGGAACACAGGCAATCAAGCTCGAACATTCACTTTTGTTTGGCAGCAAGCAACAAGTCCGACAGCATTCAGCACGCCTTTAAGCTGGAGGGAACTGGATGCCCCAGCCGCCTCCTGGGCTGCACTGTTACAAAGGGCAATCATTGCTATGGATTATCGGCAATCCATACAGTCGCGCTGATAATGGCACCGTCCCCAGTGGACGCCATTTCAGCGCGTCAATCCACTCCGCCCCGAGTGGGGGTGGAGCTTCCACCCACCTCCAGAGTACAGCTGCCACGGGATGTCGTGAGGGCGCTCCACGCGCGCGCCGCGTCCCTCTCAGGAAGCGGCGCGCTGGGCTGATGGCGGTGGCCCCGGCTTCGGGGACGGGACCGAAGCGATGACGGGTGCGCTTGCCGATGCGATCGTCCGATACGAATGCAGACTGATCAGAGCTTTCTCGATCTGGGCAAGAAAGGCGTTCAGCGCCTTGCTTTGGGGCAAATTGCGTTCAAGGGCTCAAAAGCCCGACCTTCCATACATCAGGCGGCATCAGTTGAGTGCATTTGTCAAGCAAACATTGAGGCATACGTTTTACGAGAAATGTTCTGTTTGGTGGCAGTGGTCATGGTCACGGCATAGTTAATACTTTTATCCTGTTCGCGGCCTTTTTATTTTTGACTGTATTGTTTAACACCAATCTGAACACGCACATGGCAGGTCGGTTTTACCCTCGGTACCCTTCGCTCCGATATGGGGTCAATTTGGTCTCCAGAGATCTAAAAAAAGCAAAAGGGCTAGAAACACCAAATTCACGGGATGGATTGACCTGTGTGTGGATTGACCTGTGTTAATATGTAAGGTTCCTAGGCTACGACCTTTGGGTCAGATAAAGTCAAGCAATGCCAAACTCCAGATTGGTATCCAAAGTCCCCAAGACCTCCTCATACAACCACCTTGAACGTAGATGTCTGTTTTAAGCAAAACGCCACCGATGTTAATTTCAGGCCAGGGGATTTTTCATCCTTTAGAAGATAATGATAACCATAATATTTCGCGGTTATTATAATTTTTGCATTTAAGTAAGCGTCAAGGATTACGCCAGACGGCATGTTTTCAAAACAGTGTTCAATTATGAGTTCAATCATTTTAGTTTCTAAGGAACCATCTCAAAGATGTATGGCTTCGCCTAACACTCCGCAGTCGCACCAGCTTGAGCGATTTCTTAGAAATTGCCTTCACAGACCGCTACGGCCTGACTTTGACTTGCCATCGCTCAGCGACCCTGCAAGGTACATCTCATTTTTATGATCAAAATATCCCCTATTGATTTGCCCACAGCTATGCAAAGATTGACGTGGCTACGCCGGGCTGTTCAGGAATTATTCTGCGTAAACTTCGAAGTGGCAGGGTCGAACTGATCCCCCACCCGAGCTCGCGTTAATCTTATCTTCTGGCAGTTTGAAACTCTCTGGCCTCATATAGTGCTTATCAAAGGGGACACTCTCACTCGGGGGTATCGAGCACTGGCGGTGGGATACCATTTTAGTTACCATGGATACTAGAGCTTCCTGCATCGAGCCCATTGCCTTCGCCAAGCCGCGCGCGTACACCCTCGGTCTGGGGTAGCTGGGCAGGGTCATCCGGTCCGACGCCGTGTGAAGAAACAACTCTGGCTAGGGACTTGAACCCGACAGTCTCTGTCGATGATAAGTTTTATTATCACAACCCGGACATATTCGACACGAGCCCGGCCGCTCCGAGCCCGGCGCTCTGAGCCTGGACTAACTTGTCGGGCCTCATGTGTCCCGGTGGACCAGTTCACCACGGCCGTCGAGTTGGGCCGTATTTTTGGCTCGTGCTGGCGGGTTCGGTCTGCAGGGTGATCCGGCCGTCAGCGCGGGGCGTCGACACAGCTGATCCGCAGAACCCGCCGCCGCATCGATCGACCTCCCTCCTGCCGGCTATCGAAACCCCCCGGCGGAATGGAGCTGCACGCCCGGCCCCGAGCGATGAACCGGGTTCAGTTCGTATGATTCGTCCTGCGCGCTCCACCACATGATGTATGTGTGCACCCTCCAATGTATGCACACGTGTCGAGGGCTAGCTTGCGACATTTCAACTTAATGTTGATGATCCGTTCGGCAAGGATGTAACTGCGCACAGGTCGGGATATGATGCAAAAGGGACATGCTTCGAGAATAGTTTCGTGTTTTGATTGCGATCCTATTTTGAGACACTGAAATACAGCTCGGTTTCAAACGGACTCCGTAACGCTTATCGCTACCATTCATAAGATTCACTGTCAAAGTGGTACATAATCTTATAAGCTCCAAACATAGTTTTGCATGCCTTTGTAGTCAGCACACAGATCATGAATAATCAAGTTCACAACATGATACTTCGGCGTTGCAAGCCAGCATAACATCATTCAAGGCTCAGAAGGCAGCCATCCGATTTAGCACCCGCTGCCAGGACTCAAGTCTGTCTCCCCATGCCTCGCCAACATGTGGAGTGATCTCTTTGGACTGACTGTTTTGCCAACATTTTTGTTCGGTCACCTTGGCCGGTCATTTCAAATCGTTAACCGAATCGTGCATCGTGCGTTGCGTACAAAAAGCCGAAAGGGAATATGTTTTCGGGGGCTGAGCTTTATTAGACGTACTGGAAATGGGAGAGGCATAGGGTAAATCGAGAAATAATCGAAGGTTTTGCTGCTGTTCGTGTCTTCGACGAGTTTTTGGATATTACGAGCCTATGACTTCTTTTGCGAATAGTTAGAGCACCTCAATTTGACAGGCGGCACCGGTGAAGCGGAGTTTTCAAGCAAGTTGTTGTATTGTTAATGCTTGCCGTTTCAACCTGTGCGTGTCTTCACGTTGTTTGATAATATAATCAATGTTTCCTTAATAAAGTCGGCTAACAGCAGCTCCTGGCATGTCAAAAGCCGATGGCTGTCAGAAGAAGAACTCTGGGCTCAGAACGCTGAAAAACTCTGCGAGCTTAAGGGACTTTTTATATCCATTGGTACTGCAATTACGATACCTATGAAATGTCTGTAATCGTGTATGGTGTCTGTAGACTGTACAGGCCCCTCGCGTGCGAACCATATAGCAGCCATATACGTTGCACTTCCACCTTGACAGTGACGTCACACACTCAAGACCGACCGGCGGCCCGTCGCCGCCGGTCCCGCCGACAGTCGATCTGGTGACGTCACATCCCGGGAGGGAGTGCCGCGGGACCGGCGCTGACTAATGACTGCCGACGCCACTTACCAGGGGGTGGAGGGGAGGGGGCGGTGCAGCCCCGCGTCCGTGACGGAGGGTGCTAGCCTGGGCGACAAAGACGGGCTTTAGGGCTTAAGTAAAGCGACAACGTCCTTCGGACTGATTTGGGAGAGACGTGAAGGGATCCTAAGCTGTATGTCGCGTTGAAGTGACACTCGCACTCAGTGCAGGTGCGGATCCCGCTTAAGGCGAGCCCCGCGCGGTGACCGGGGGACTCCCCATCTTCTTCCATGATGCCCCCAGATTAGCCTGTAGGCATCGACGTTCGGACAGGTTTTTCATTACGTCCGCTTGGATGACCCAAGCAGAGCGATTCTCAGACTCCCGTTGTGGCTCCGCCGGCTCTTCGGCCGGTGGGGCTGCGGCGGAGCCTAGCGCGGGGAGCGCCGCGATCCATCGCGCTCACTGGAGCACCGCCGTCAGCCAGCGGCCGCGGTAACTGTCTGATGGCCGCTGTCAGCCGGCGGCGGCGGTGGCTGTCTGATGGCCGCTGTCAGCCGGCGGCGGCGGTGGCTGTCTGATGGCCGCTGTCAGCCGGCGGCGGCGGTGACTGTCTGATGGCCGCTGTCAGCCGGCGACGGTGGTGGCTGTCTGATGGCCGCTGTCAGCCGGCGGTGGTGACTGTCTGATGGCCGCTGTCAGCCGGCGGCGGCGGTGGCTGTCTGATGGCCGCTGTCAGCCGGCGGCGGCGGCGACTGCCTGATGGCCGCTGTCAGCCGGCGACGGTGGTGACTGTCTGATGGCCGCTGTCAGTCAGCGGCGGCGGTGGCTGTCTGATGGCCGCTGTCAGTCGGCGGCGGCGGTGACTGTCTGATGGCCGCTGTCAGCCGGCAGCAGTGACTGTCTGATGGCCGCGCTCAACCGGCGGCGGCGGTGAAAGCCTGATGGCCGCTGTCAGCCGGCAATGGTGGTGACTGTCTGATGGCCGCGCTCAACCGGCGGCGGTGGCTGTCTGATGGCCGCGCTCAACCGGCGGCGGCGGTGACTGTCTGATGGCCGCTGTCAGTCGGCCGGCAGCAGTGACTGTCTGATGGCCGCTGTCAGCCGGCGACGGTGGTGACTGTCTGATGGCCGCTGTCAGCCGGCGGCGGCGGTGACTGCCTGATGGCCGCTGTCAGCCGGCGGCGGTGGTGACTGTCTGATGGCCGCTGTCAGCCGGCGGCGGCGGTGTGCCGCGCTGCCGCAATGGTCCAGTTACTCCAGCCAGACGTCGCACAGGCGAGGGGGACGCAACGGATGATCATTCCTATCCGAGTCTGAGAACCGGCCCATTGCAGCCGGTGGGCGCTGGGTGTAGCGTGTAGCGCGTGCGGCGCCGCGTGTGCGCCTGTCCCCCTCGACGTGAGCAGCGCCGCCGGTGCGGCGGTGGAGGCTCGACGCCACCGTTGTCGACGCGCGGGCGGCGGCAGCTGCTCAGCGGCAATGCCCTCTGTCACAGGATGGCTTCGTGCTGGTGGGCTCGGTGGCTGGACAGCGCTACTGGTCCTCCAACCTGCGCCTGAGCAGCAACATCGTGTGCGGCACCTGGACTCCCGACGACCAGCAGGTCAGTGTTACGGCGCCGCCAGTCATGTCACTCACGGAGCGGCACCTGGACGCCCGACGACCAGCAGGTCAGTGTTACGGTGTGCGGCACCTGGACCCCGACGACCAGCAGGTCAGTGTTACGGCGCCGCCAGGCAGGCCACTCACGGAGCGGCACCTGGACGCCCGACGACCAGCAGGTCAGTGTTACGGCGCCGCCAGGCAGGCCACTCACGGGAGTGGCACCTGGACGCCCGACGACCAGCAGGTCAGTGTTACGGTGTGCGGCACCTGGACGCCCGACGACCAGCAGGTCAGTGTTACGGCGCCGCCAGGCAGGCCACTCACGGGGTGGCACCTGGACGCCCGACGACCAGCAGGTCAGCGTTACGGCACTGCCAGTCAGGCTACTCACGGGAATATGGCCGTGTGGTGTGAAAAATGTTGCCACATCTCTTCAAGACTTCGTTTTGTGCCGTTCAAATGCACATCAATTTGTTCAGTTTTGGTCTTTTGAAACCACATGCAAAATCCATTTGCTGATGCCGACATTAGTGTACGGTCTATACACATGACTCACCCAATCACTTTCACTCTTTGATCCACACTCATGGCTGGCAAGGTAACATTCGAAGGGAAAATGCATTCCGCCGGTGATTTGCTACCCGAAGTTCTTCGCATGGATACGAAACGTTTCATAAAACCGCTTTTCACAAAGGTTCAACGCCATGGCAGACAGGGAGTGAGCACATTACGAATCTGGAAACGACAAAACTTTGTTAATTAGGCCAATGGCTGTCCGTGAAATGAACACCTTTGAGGAGCTGGGAATGAGGACCACCAATCATAAATGCCAAAGAACTGAGAAATCCTAACGGTGGGGATATCACGATAAAGCTGTTCGCAGCGAACTCGCGCGACATTGAGCGATGTTTGGAGATCAAATGTGATCCATACATTGCAGTTACGACTCACGGATTTCATGCCAAGCTGAACAAGTGCGACCTGTCGAGCGTACCCACGCACAGGTCACAGTCGTTCATTGACGAAACTTGTTTCATTTAGTCGAGTGTTGCGAGTAGGGAATTCGGATATTCAAAAATGCCGACGTGCAGTATATCTTGGTCTTCCAGTGTATCAGCTGTACCCAGCGTACATTGAGCATAAAGGGAACGCCCGACCGCGGGCGGGCATGGCATCAATCAGACAAGGCAAGTGAGGTTGACTCACGAGTATCACGGCGCACCTGTGTCTGACGCGCCTGCCGTGGTTTTCAGGTGTTCTTCGGCTCTCTGACCGGTCAGCTGGTGGTGATGGACGTGCACGGCGCGATGGTGTCCAGCGTCGCGCTGTTGGAGGGCGTCCCCGTCGTGGAGATGGGCTGGAACTGTGAAAAGTTCAAAATGGAAGAGCGCGACGAGGCCGTCACCGGCCAGGGAAAACGTGAGTTCGTCGCGGCGGCAAATCGCTGCCGCTGCTGACTATGATGAGGGCCATAAATCTCAGCTGTTATGCTCCGAATGCGTCATACCGAGGAAAATCGGTGTGCAACATATTTCTAGATAGCTTGGGGTGATTTAACGTGCTTTGTTTCTCCTGCCGAGCACCCCACTCAAATTCGTTTAAATACAACATTGAAATGCTTGTTGCTCTCACCTGGGACTGCTATAAGCCAGAGGCCGTCGAATGTCAGGCGACGCTCAACAGTGATGCATGGCTGTTCAGTCGGGCAAAAATATGTGGAGATGCAGACCACATAAGCATACAAAACCAGCATGGGTCCAACAGGAGATCAAGGCCTAGGGGAACTTTGCGCGTGAAGCGGCTGGTTTGAATCAACATCCAAAGCAATATCAAATCAGTCCGGATATCAAACCCCGCTTTTAAAACCTCTCTTGCTATCACAGCAATTATTAGCAATGTGCCTTCGTAGTTCCACTCCGCGCATCCTACAGCAGCATGGCTACATGGCTACAACAACATTTTATTGCCAGACAGCACCCTGATCGATCCCAGAGACCTGGGCGAGTGCCTAAATACTCCAGGGGAAGCCTCGCTCACTTCTAACCATGGCCGTCCTCCCATGGCCCTCTTGTTACCCGATCCGTGCGGTGCCAGACCTCGCTGTAGGTATCTGTAGTCGAAGTTTGGAGCAGTCGGAGCCCGCGCCTGCTCCCGCTCATACCAGAGCCTCTTGTCAGGAGTCTCCCGGCTCGAGAAGGTGGGGCTCCCGCTCACGCTAGATCTGGCTCCCGGTCTGTGCAACCGGAGCCCGCTCACACCAGACCCCGCTCCCGATCAGTGTAGCTCACACCAGACCCCGCTCCCGGCCACTATAACCAGAGTCCTGCTCACACCAGACCCCGTTCCCGATCAGTGACCAGAGCCCGCCCACACCAGACCCCGCTCCCGATCAGTGTAGCTCACACCAGACCCCGCTCTCGGCCAATATAACCGGAGTCCTGCTCACACCAGACCCCGTTCCCGATCAGCGACCGGAGCCCAGCTCACACCAGACCCCGCTCCCGGCCAATATAACCGGAGTCCTGCTCACACCAGACCCCGCTCCCGATCAGCGACCGGAGCCCGCTCACACCAGACCCCGCTCCCGGCCACTATAACCAGAGTCCTGCTCACACCAGACCCCGTTCCCGATCAGCGACCGGAGCCCGCTCACACCAGACCCCGCTCTCGGCCACTATAACCGGAGTCCTGCTCACACCAGACCCCGCTCCCGATCAGTGACCGGAGCCCGCTCACACCAGACCCCGCTCCCGGTCCGGACCCGGCGGTTGGCTGACGGGCCGGTCGGCTGCCCGGCACGCGTATCGATCCGGCGCTGACTTCCCCTGTCGCCGGCGGCCGGACGCCTGCTACCTGGCGGCCGCAACGCTGTGGTCGGGCCGGCCGTCTCCTCCGCCGTCGCCCAGGCCCCCCGATTGGTGGCGCTCGATGCAGGAGACGGTCACGAAGCCCGCGCAGTGTCTGGCCGCGGCCATGGCTCTCCGCCTGTCCGCCGCCGTCGCGCTGTGGCGGCGGAGCTGCTAGGGGGCGTGCTGAACGGAACTGCAAGGCGTCCTCTGGGGAAGTGGAACCTTGACAAACTCACTGGTCTCGTCGGCTCAGTATGCCTCGCTACCTGAGATTTAACGTTGACACTTGCTGGACATCAAGATGGGTACAAATTTTCATTACACGGGAATGCAACTTGATTGCTAACAGTAATTGATCAACCACACGGATCTTGCACACCAGAAATGCTACAACTTTTGTGTTTTATCTTGGACCGTACCGCTATGGCCCAGAAAGATGCCATAATAAAACCATCACCAAGTGGAACTGGTTTCTCACTGGACGCATGGTAGGGACAAAAAGTTTGCACCATTATTATAACATGAAATGTTCTCTTTTGGGAAAAGACACCACATGAATCGGGAAATTACGAGCAACTGTCTTATATTGAACTAGGACATGACTGTCGATAGACGCTTTAACAAAAGCTGAGCGTTGTTACGGAATCGCCCGTATTCAAGAGCAGCTTGCGCTCCGCACTCTCTCCTATGTTCCATGCTTCGTCCCCGCCCACAGACGATTCCACTCCGAGATAGTCCACACCTGGTCCCCAGTGTCTCCGCTCTGCTCCTCCTCCGTGTGCTCCTTGCTCCGCCCCTGCCTGGTCGTGGTCGGCGGGTAGCACCAGACGTCATTTACCTTTACCTGGTGCCAGCGGCCCCCGCCCTTGCCGCCCCCGCTAATGCCCGGTAGGAGCCGGTACGGATCAGTAATGGTGTTTGCTAATGGTAGCTGCTACCTTGTTTGCGGGAGCTGCCTGACCAGGGAAATACTTAATTGGTCCCCATATTGGCGGCCCTCCGTCGTTGTGTCATTTCCCTGTCCTCAGCTCACCTGCGCTTACGGCTAGCACTGGGGATGTTAAAATACATGGACAGTGGTGAAGGTGAGCGTGTCTTCGGTGCGCAGCCTGCCGTGAGTGCTGCATTGAACTTTTCGCGGAGCAGGACTGGAGGAGTGCGGGTATCAGGGCCTGTTCTCCGGTCTGCATTCCTGGCAGGTCTTCCAATGCGTTGTCTTGTTACCTTCGAACGCTTCAAGCCCCGGCCAATATCTAGTGACATACTCGAGTGAAAAAGAAGCGACGTCAAATGTACTTTGGCGAGGTTTGAGGTTTCTGCGTTGGAAAAAGCCTAAGATATGTCTCGCATCGGACTTGTCTTATCGTATCGTGATAATCGGAATTCCAAGACTCCGTTGTCGAGAATCGAGCGTCAGCGGATCGTTCCGTCAGTCTCAGCATCTTTACCCGGCGCCATGTTTTGATGCCGCGTTGAACATGAGTGTGTCCCTTTTCGCCGGGATTCATTTTCGTGTCCAAAGGTCATATTTCAGATAAAATGGGAAGGAAAGTGTGTTGCCTCCCGCAAAATGACGGAAGTGGGGCTTGATCGTGGCGCAGTTGGCGGTGCAGCGTTACACAACCGTCCTGTCTGCATCAGCCCGTTCCCTAACCCATCTTTACTGCAGCCCGGGACAGCATGTGTTTCTTACCGCCATTGATTTGTATGCTTCCTGGTCATAAGCTAGCTCAAATGGAAACGGAAGTGTATGGCCTGCTGCACAGTGGCGACCATGTAGCTGTGACGCCACGAAGGTGCACCGTGAAAAATCAATAAGCCCCCGGGTGGGCTGTTGTGCGCTCCGCGTCTCGCCGTGCGGCTCCATGTTATCCTTGTATACATGAATGGCGAGATGTCTGATGACGCCTGCGTCGCACCTCTTCCTCCATGAGAGCGGAAGCGTCTGTGTGTGTAAAGATCTCTATCTGGACAAGGCTGCAGTGGTCCGGAGATAGCCTGACGCAGATATCAATCTCAGTTGCTCCGTTCGTCACCGCATAAAAATGGATATACGCCACGCGCACATGTAAAACACACGCCTCTTATGATCAAATCATCAGCAACCGACAAACCTCTAGCAATGATACGACTGAAGATGAATCCCCCTTGCATTGTTCAATCTTATTTATTACTCGAATGCTGTGCAATATGTGCGATGTCCTTCCAGCATTGCGGTTTTCCACACAAAAGATGGCGTGAGTTTATCAACTGATTTATTAACATTAGATTTGTAGATCGAGTAAGTGTGTTTGAATGACGGGGTTTCAAATAGTGAAATGCTCGATTAAATGGGACTTACAAGCAGTTAGATTTGGGCCAGTTTTCAGAAGCGTCGTGCCGCCGCGTCCTGGACTTTGCGTTCAGACGTGCACCATTCATTTGATATCGAAAAGGAAATTCACAAATTTCGAGAAACTCCCAAAGCTCGAACAGCGACTGAGTCCGTATTATGGAAACAGAAAGCCAACGTGAACTAAGAAAATATGAGACAACGCCATTGACCTTGCTGCTCGTCACGCGGCATATCACGTGCGCTCGGGCTGGTGCCATATATCACGTGCGCTCGGGCGGGTGCCATACATCACGTGCGCTCGGGCGGGTGCCATACATCTGGTGGTTTATATTCGGTTGTGAGGACTGTGAGGATTCCGCAACCGGAGCATTAAGAGACTCGAAATCTCGGGAAAGGGTAGCCGAAATTCCGTCCACATATCAGTAACTCCAGCTCAACACCGACCAACTCAGAGAAACGCGGTTGTTCGACCAGGAAGCGTGACCAACGCCACAGTTGTAACAGGCTGTCTCGAGTCAAACCACTAAGGACACAATAGAGAAACACTTTTGGATTTTAAATTGCATGTGTTGATAACAGGCCCAACATCACATATTGTTAAACCGAGGACTATGCAAGGCATTACGTAAGTAAAAATGCACCTCCCAACAGGCCCCTGTCACCCCTTCAGCGGCCGTAAGACCACTGTTCCACTGACGTCATCAGCCCCTGTCCAGCCAGACGCCTCCTGCGCACCTCGTGCTGCATCTCTCAAAACAACTTTAAACGGCCAGCCGATGTCGTCCCGGGACCGCGTGACTTAGTAGTCAAATCGATGGGTGAGTGTGCCTGGTACACGGGGCCTCGCCGTCCTATTATCCGCTTCATTCCACTCGAGTGGAACGGCCGCGCCCCTGCCCGAAACCCAGGCCCAACGCATGTCACAGCGCAGGGGAAACTCTTAGTCAACGCATTGACAAACTGCTAGTTTCAGATGGATTGAAACACGTGTCATTTTGAGAGTCGATCTGGGAATCTTTTCTTGGTAAAGGTGGAACGAAACCCGCGTCCCTGCGACGTATCCACGGCAGCATATCACACGTTTTCGGACGATACGGACTAAATACTCAAATAGGATATATAATGCGTAACCTGCTGTGACACAATATGACATGAGTCCGAAGTAGTAAAGATGTTTGTTGGCCGTTGGAGCTGTTTAAAATGTGTTCGAGAGCAATGGTTGCATGGTGGCAACAAAGCGTGAACTTGGTCCTCCCCCCCCCCCCCCCCCACCACACAGACACACACCATGAACAGAACGCAAGAGGGCACAAATGCCGTCATTTATTCAGCGCTCTTCTGCAGCCTTGTCCTTTAACGCAACCCCTACAGAGTTGTTGCAATGTGTGTAGCAGTTACAGCGAAGCAGTGAAATGGCTTAACCAAGGAACGTCAGACGAACACGGTTTCAAAATCGAGCATATTTAGTCTTCATGAGAGACAAGTGCTGGACAGAATATTATTACCATGACAAGATGTTGTTCGCCGCACAAAAGTCCTTGTAGTTACATCAAAATGAACGTTTTGTTCGCGCCTATGCATGCGTATTCGCTTTCCGTCACATTGCAATGTGCCTTGCTAGGATAATCTGCAACGTTGTGAGCTGAACAAACTCTTGACTTTCCATTTGATAACGGTGGAATACATAAAATGGCCCTATTGCGAAAAGCTGCGCAGCGCTAGTGGAAACCAGATCCCGATCTAGATGATACGCAGCTGCCGCGACACAAGACCGATGCATGTTTACTGTGGAACGAACGGCAATCATGCCAGCGAAACCATCGGTCGATGCGTGGAGCCAGCGGCCCACTCTCGAACGCAGACCAGGGAGCCGCCCTCGTTGGGGACGTGTACACAGATCCGCATCTGATCCTGGCAACTGGTGCAGATCGAAACGCGAAGAGAACTGCGCGGTGTAGACGGACGTACCGTCCACATTGACCACTCTCACTTCGCACCCCGTACCCCGTTATCATACCGTCACTTCGCACCCCGTACCCCGTTATCATGCCGTCACTTTGCACCCCGTACCCCGTTATCACACCGTCACTTCGCACCCCGTACCCCGTTATCATACCGTCACTTCGCACCCCGTACCCTGTTATCATACCGTCACTTCGCACCCCGTACCCTGTTATCATACCGTCACTTCGCACCCCGTACCCCGTTATCATACCGTCACTTCGCACCCCGTACCTCGTTATCATATCGTCACTTCGCACCCCGTACCCCGTTATCATACCGTCACGTCGTCCGTTGTCACATTGTTCGTCCCGGCCCGCTCGAGGCGTCCTACTGATGCGCATTCAGCTTCCGCTACCGCAAGTGGACGGGTTCTTTATAGCGTCTGATAGCCTCAAATCATTTCAAATATCTCCGTTTCCCAGCGATTCGTATTCTTCCCGGGCCATCTCCAGGGATTAACCGGCTTTTGTAGGCCTCGGGCAGCCGGTGCCGGTCCGCCAGCGGCGGATTTGTCCCGCGGCCGGGCGATGTCAGCGCGCGCCGAGGCCTGGTGTCCACCCGGGGAGGAGCCTGGCCGACGCCAGGCCCTGATGTGCCACCCTGATGCCGTTCCACAGCCGTCGCGTCCCTATTTTAGCGGCTCGTGAGACACGCGCCTCGGCCGCATCTAAAGCGCCGCGCCGCGCCGTGGCGGACCGCCGGCCGATAACCGACCGAGCGATGTGCGCGAGGGACCCTGGTCCGCCAGGGACGCGACCGGTCCTCTGGCCGCGGCGGTCCCCGCCGATAACCGACCGAGCGATGTGCGCGAGGGACTCTGGTCCGCCGGGGACGCAACCGCTCCTCGGTCGCGGCGGTCGCGCCGCCGGCCGATAACCGACCGAGCGATGTGCGCGAGGAACCCTGGTCCACCGGGGACGCGACCGCTACTCGGCCGCGGCGGTCTCGACCGATATCCGACCGAGCGATGTGCGCGAGGGACCCTGGTCCACCGGGGACGCGACCGCTACTCGGCCGCGGCGGTCCCGGCCGATAACCGACCGAGCGATGTGCGCGAGGGACCCTGGTCCACCGGGGGACGCGACTGCTCCTCGGCCGCGACGGTCGCTCCGCCGGCCGATAACCGACCGAGCGATGTGCGCGAGGGACCCTGGTCCGCCTGGGACGCGACCGCTCCTCGGCCGCGGCGGTCCCGGCCGATAACCGACCGAGCGATGTGCGCGAGGGACCCTGGTCCGCCAGGGACGCGACCGCTCCTCGGCCGCGGCGGTCCCGGCTGATAACCGACCGAGCGATGTGCGCGAGGGACCCTGGTCCGCCAGGGACGCCACCGCCCCTCGGCCGCGGCGGTCCTGGCCGATAACCGACCGAGCGATGTGCGCGAGGGACCCTGGTCCGCCAGGGACGCGACCGTTCCTCGGCCGCGGCGGTCGCGCCGCCGGCGGACGGCTGTCGTTCGAGGAGGAGGCAGAGGAGTGGGCGAGCATGCGCTGACGAGATCTGGAACGGGGCTGTCTGGCGCTGGCGTGATTGATGAGGATAGTTGTGCCGAGGCGTGGTGATCCTGACGATTTTGGGCGACAACGTGACGTAATAGAATGGCTGGCGAAAGAAAGGATAGACACAGGGATGTAGGCATGTAAATGAAAAGCTTCACATTTATAAGGTTTTTGATGAACGTGATTTATGGACGTTGGACCTTTAGTAGAGTGCAAGGGATGTAAGCTGTTCAGTCCAGCTGCGAGGAACATCTTATCTCCATAAGTATAATTTTCTTGGCTTTACTCCCCGCTATCAGTCAAAAAGAACGGTTGACTATTTAAACCCGGCCACGAGCGTTTGTCGGAAAAGCGATGTCAATACATAAACGAGCAATGAGTTATATGGAGTAGCACCAGTGCTACTAGTGGAGCAAATTGTTGCTTGCACTTTTTGCATGCTGACAAAATACTGAGTTTATTTGTTGTTCCAGGGAGGCAGCTGGTTCTGGCCGTCAGCTTCGAGAACGGTCTCATCAACCTGATGACCAGTTACGACGACATCACGCCAATCGTTATTCGAACAGGTAAGAGATCCATACGGTTCTTCCTCTGTGTCGTTCCGGCGACTCGGCCGAAAGAGCGTCGGATAACATGGCCAATACATAGCTTGCGTCGTGGATGTTGTGCCTGTGTGGCTTGTATTTGGCGGTCAGTTGGCCACCCGTTAAGAAAGCCATAATGATTTGGAGGTGGCAGTGTCATGCCATTGCGTGGCATGCTCTGGTTATGGTGCATATAGGGTCCGTTCGATATGCTGCCACCTTTGCGCCTTTTTCGGTCGTAAGCCTGTGGACTAACACGCGGTCATATTGAGGCTATCACTATGTGAACCTGGCTTTCAAGTGGAAACTGTGGTGCAAGACGCAGTACCATAATCTTCAATTGTCATTCAGCATGAAAACGTTGCAATCACTTTGAAAGTTTTGACAATGCAATGACAGAAAGATACTGCTGACATGATAGAAAGCAAGTACCAATAATGGTGCTTATCAAGTTTTACCATAGACTTCTTATCATGCAGTTTAAGGCTAAAGCTAGCAGAACTTTGATGGCATAAAGATAACAACCAGATAAAAAATAAAGATACCATATGAATTGTGAAAGCATGCCGCAACCCTCTTCATGTTGAACTCAAAAGTATTTTTTGACAGACCCAATCCATTTAAAGCTTACACAGAACTATTGATATTTAAGATGGCAAAAACATTACACAAGAAACAGCAAACAGCTGTTTCTTGTGTAATGTTTTTTCAATGGATGTGCTACGTGTTGAAATGTGAATACAAGCCAAATGCATTATGTTTTATTCACCGAAAGGAAAATTACGTTTAAAAATCAAGACGCGTGAATCCAGAGCATATTTTGAATATGTGCAGGCGCTGTCACTAAAAATATGTCGAAATGAGAAATCATCTCGGCTGCCACATTCTAACACCCGATGCACGGAAGTACACTTTGGACTGCCCGAACACAGGCGGCGAGGAAGAAGGGTATGACTCACCCATGCCCAGTAAAATGTTAGAAGGTTATTCGCCATGAACATCAAACATCACAAACATAGTGCAAATAATGCGAACATCCCGTCTATTCAACCTCTAACGCCGTAACACCCAGTGCACGATACTGTGCTGAGCTGCCTGAAGCAGAGGCGGCGAAGCGGGAAGTGTTGCTGTTACTGTTGCTGCCCGAAGCGACGATCCGCTCCTCGCGGAACGATGAGAGACAACTTGCCGGCGGGCATCAGTGTTCACTGCAACGACTACAGAGTTAACTCCCAACATGCATAACCAAAGTAACGTTGCTCAAGCCAAGTCTCGAGACGACGTTTGTGAGATTATCTCCGGGCAAAGAAGATTACACCGTAATCTTGATAAAGGTCACATCCATAACTTCCGTCCAGAGGTGGAGCCAAGTCGTCCCCAGTCTATGCGGTCACGTTTCGCGAAAAACTCCCAGATGGTGCCGTGTTAAAGTCTTCGGCCAAAGCCTCGCCGCCCTGAGGGCTGCGTCCGACTGCGGGCGCACGCTGCCGACGTTCGGCCGCCGCCGACACCTCCTCGGAGGCCGAGCGCGGGCGCTGGATCGGCGATGAGGGCTCCCGGGCAGGCGCCGAACATGGCAATCGCGCCAGCCGTCCCGCTGTGGATTGGACGGCTGATTGTCTGCGCTGGCGCCGGCCGCCCTGCAGTCCACCCGCGGACCATCGACCGGCATTGCACGGCAGTTCTGTTCTGAACTATTTTGGCGGGTCGGCTCGTGGCCCTTCGTATGCGAAGCCGCGCCGTGGCCCTGCTGTGTATGCAGAGTCGAGCGAGCTGTGGCGAGCGGACAGCCAGTTCATAACCACTGCGGTTTCGCAAAAAGGTTTGGTCCGAGTGATTATAAGGAAAGTGTGTTGAACCAAATGCCTTTGTGGGTATGTGGAGGTGAACTCCACGATTTATGTTCGATAAAATAGGAAAGGTGTACAGCAATAAAGTAAGGCGGAGCGCTTGCCCGACAGTCGTTAATCCGATCCTGTGTGTTCAGGACTACGTGTAGGACGTGCCACAAATGGTTTACAAATGGTCCGTCCCGATGGCACAGTTGGCTAGAGTGCTTGCCTTCCGATCCACCCAACGGCGGCAGCGTGGGTAAGAGCTGCTTTAGGCGCTTGGCATTTGGCCTAGACAAGTATGGCTTGTGGCCGGTGGCAGCGGCCACCCTAAAAGTCTGGTGACGTCAGAGGACACGACAGACAGTGCCGAGTATTACGTCACGTTAAACTGTCGTCACCAAATTTTGCCGTTGGCCTGGAATTGTGCGATCGGATGGTGGGGCTCGGGGCTTATCCAAAAAACACTTTTTAGCGTCAGCTCTGATCCCAGAAACCCATCCATTCAAAAGGATTGGATTAATTTCTTTGTTTTTAAAAATACGGAAGACCGATTGCGTAATACAGTTATGACGGCAACACAAATGTTTAAATGGGTATAGGTGGCACCGATGAAAACAACTGGCTCTTTGCAGAGCGAGTGCACCAAACGCCGAGTGCTGACTTTTTAGGAAGAGCTGATGAGTATTGGGCCAAGCTCGACGGAGGCAAAGACAATTTCTCGGGAATCGTCCAGCCTGATGCAACAGCGGGGTGTTAAAGGAAACCATACATCTCTGAGATACTTTTTTAGACAGCTAGACATTTGAATTTAGGATTACGAAAAGGTGCATTGATCACGGACCGGGTATGAAAGTCAGACCGAGAGCGACACCAGTTCTTTTTTTCGGCTGGGGAGTTTGCTATTTGTGGTAGCTTTTGTTTTTTTCGAATTTCTTGATCACGAAGACCGCGACAGACGTCTTCCTTGGACTTCTGGAAGGTCATAATAGGCATCCATCCTAAATTGACCTAGATTAATATCTTATTCGACGCACGTACCGCCTAACGTAATCCTTGACGTTTATTCAATTTAAAAACCAGAACAATCTCGTAGGTTTTTAGTCCCATTGACCTTCTAAGGGCCTAACAAGGTCACCAACCTAAAACAAACACTACCTGACCTTTGCCTAGAACAGGTATCTAGGTTCAAGGCGGTTGCGTTAGAAGGTCCGGCGACACTTTGGACAACAATATGGATTTCGACTATATTTGACCTTATTTGACACAGAGGCCATGACTAATGAACCCCAGATTTGTCACAAGCGAGTAATGTCCTAGCCAAATTACTCTGTGGCTTTGGTGTCTCTCACTCTTTTAGTTATGGAGATAGCAGGGGGTCAAATTGCTCCGACTGACCCCCGAGTATCGAACCAGTCACCTGGGCGCGTGTTAGCTGAACAGGAGACTACAGCCTTCGTTTGGGTGCATACATTCTTGATACTTCGCTGTCATTGGTGTGATATGTCATTCTCTGATTTTTTCATTTGTCGACTGATGATGATTTAACTATGGTTTACTAAAGCTGTTGCGCAAGAAAAGCTTGCACATTTCACGTTAGCCGCATTTTATGTATCATATAACCTGTAATCCTTCACATCCTTTCTATTATAGGTTATTTTTATTTTTATGAAGTACGGTGTAAATGTGACGTCACTGACGACCGTCACGTGAATAATTTTGCATGAAGTCAAATATTTCCTCAACGCCGACAGCTAGTTCCAAACTTGTTTGCTACCACCACAACCGTTAGATAAGATATTTCATTTTTAACGCGATGGTATCGTTCGCTTCGAAAATAACTACCATAAGATAGCTATTTCCATCGCTCACAGCAAAAATTTTCACGCAACGCTGAGTTGTAAAGGAGAAAACTAATCACGTGTCTTTGGGAGGCTCAACCCAGCTCATTCAGTTCTGAACGCATCGCTTTGATCATTTACATTAATCTCCGAATGACCGCGTACTAGGCAAACAGCCGATGAGACTAATCCAGTTGCCGAAGCCTAGTGACGTCTGAAGTCGGGTTTGGCAATGGTCCCGACCCTCCCCGCCCCTTCGCCTTCGACTATACCAGGTGAAGTGGGCACAACTTTGTCGTTCCTACGCTGCCCCCTCCCGCTCCGCTACTCGCGTGTTCTTTGAGACGCCGATGGCTATCTGGTGCGTTTCGTCATCTGTGCTGTCTGACAGGCGTGAAAGGGGGCGTTCGGATTCCCGGAGCCGCAGTTGTGGTCTTTAACCACTTACTGATGCCGTCAATCCATCAGTTCTTGGATCAGCTTGAGGACATCGATTTCAATCGACAATCGGGACCAAAGCGAACAGACCGGCGTGCGGTTCCTGTCGACACACGTGACCGAGGCACCCGGGATGCGACGGATGCGTGACGTCAGAGCCCGCGCCTGTCGCGCCAGAAACACCGCACTTGCGTCACCGTCGCTCATAATGGTCGTACCGAAAGCTCCTCGCCGAGATCATAGGGAAGGCGACACCGTGCTCGACCGGTGGCGCCTGGACATACCGAGAGACGCCCATCCACAGCCCGCACATCACGCGCCCGGGACCACCCTCCGCCTAATCCGACGCGCTCGGCGCCGATCCCGTGCGTGCGCGAGGCGCGCACCGTGAGCTGGGTGTCAGGTGCTCGGTCGCTTGGCGCCGATCCGGTGGGTGCTCGAGGCGCGCCCCGTGAGCTGGGTGTCAGGTGCTCGGTCGCTCGGCGCCGATCCCGTGCGTGCTCGAGGCGCGCCCCGTGAGCTGGGTGTCAGGTGCTCGGTCGCTCGGCGTCCTGCCGGCCGGTGTGTTAGACGGAGAGCCGCCAGTCTCGCCTCTCGCCCCGCAGGCCTCCTCGGGGTCAAGATGGAGTGGTGCAACAGCGGCGAGCTGCTGGCCGTGGCAGGCCACAGCATCGGCGCCGACAGCATGCCGGGCGTGCACACCAACATGGTGCACTTCTACACGGGCCAGGGCGAGCTGCGTTACACCAGCAGACTACCCTACGACGCTGTGAGTATCCATTGTAGAGGCTCAGATCGCCGCTCTTTATCATAACGGCATTACAGTACACTTAATGGCTACAACATCACAATACACAACATCACAATACACAACATCACAATACACAACATCACAATATACAACATCACAATACACAACATCACAATACACAACATCACAATACACAACATCACAATACACAACATCACAATACACAACACCACAATACACAACATCACAATACACAACATCACAATACACAACATCACAATACACAACATCACAATACACAACATCACAATACACAACATCACAATACACACATCACAATACACAACATTGATTCCTGTTCTGCTGTAATTCCTACGTCAGGGCTAAAAAAAAACTGGAAGTAACGTTACACTAGGACCAAAAGAAATATACTTGGATTCTCGCTCAACTGATTACGATGGCGTACTTAACGTAATTTGTTCAAGCGGGATTGCCTTACCCATTAAGTCGCTTCTCGCATGCCGAAGAACAGCGCATTGCCCCACAATTGCGTTATGGGCATCTGACCGCGTTCATTGTTGCTACCTGATTCGCTTGCGTGACCAAATACAGTGGTATTTTTTTTAGTAGCGTGACGTGTCGTGCTAGCGGCTTTGATATCAGACTGTCAAGGGCATGGTACTGGTCACCAATTACCAAACCTTAAAGTTAAAGCAAGCAAAACAAAAAATGAGGAAGGCTCATTTAGACGCCTCGTACCAGCTAACCGTCCGTCATGATGCCGCTCTATCAGTTTACGGCTGCTTCGTTGTCTGGTTGCGACATCATGTTTAGACGGAATGGTCGGTGAATTGCTCATGGTACCCACTGTTCTGGAGTTCGTTATTTATGGTGCCGTTAAGAGTTGTTTACAATTGTATGTTTGTTATTGCGGATGCTGATGGGAAGCAACGGGTGTCGTGTATACGCAAGCGCTGTAAATGAGTGTGGTTTTGGCGAAGAGAGCGGTCCCAAACTGGATAAAAGTGTCACCGTGCTGTTAAAATGATGCATTTTCTGACAGTTGGTCTGACATAATCAGCAGGGCTCCATGGCCAAACGTGTTACGCGAATTACCAGATGCACCGTTCAGCTGCCTTGGTAAATTCCATCACGTCCACAAACGTTGTCCTGTGCTCTTCATAATCTTAAGGATTCCGGACCGTCGAGTAGTTTCATTCCGTGCGAAAATGTAGCGTGCTTTTTAAGAGCAGCTATGTTTTTAACGGATATCTCTTCGCCCAATTTCCACTCCATTATCAACAAAGAGAAAGATGACCGTGGTTTATATTTGCTCAGTTGGGACCCATTTGTTTCAACATGGCACCTGAACCGGCGACAAGCATCATCAAACACAATTGACGGTAGGCGGTGCACAGTGTAGTCGCGAGTCAGGTCCAGCGGGGAGCACGGAGACCACAACCGACTCGGATCCCAGTCAGGGCAGACTGACGACCATCGACCTACCGCCGTCCCAGATAGGAGCTGACGAACGGCTGGTGGACCCCGACAGCGACAGTGACGACCATCGACCTACCGTCACCCTACATCGCAGCTGACGAACGGCTGGTGGACCCCGACAGCGACAGTGACCACCACCGACCTACCGCCGTCCACAGATAGGAGCTGACGAACCGCTGGTGGACCACGACAGCGACAGTGACGACGCAATCGACCTACCGTGCACCCTACATCGCAGCTGATGAACGTCCAGCGGACCCCGACAGCGACAGCGACGGCCATCGACCTACCGCTGCCCCAATAGGAGTTGACGAACGTCTAGCGGACACCGACAACGACAGTGACGACCATCGACCTACCGCTGCCCACATGGGAGTTGACGAACGTCTAGCGGACACCGACAACGACAGTGACGACCATCGACCTACCGCTGCCCCACATAGGAGTTGACGAACGTCTAGCGGACACGACAACGACAGTGACGACCATCGACCTACCGCTGCCCCGCAAGAGCTGACGAACGTCTAGCGACCCCGACAGTGACGTCGACGACGACCTACTGCCGCTGCCCCAGATAGGAGCTGACGAACGTCTGACAGACCCCGAGACAGCGACAGCGACCACCTCTGGTGTCCAGCCTCAGGGGTCCGGCCTAACACGCGCTGACAGTTATATTCTCCATCAGGCCGACTCTGGCAGATTGTTGTCACTACCGCTGACATTGCGTGGACACGTGGCCCACACTAGACACCCGCTGCTGTCCTCGACTGGTGGTATTTTGCCACATAGTCCCGCGTGAGACCACCTCTTCCGCAGAGGATCGCTTTCATGTAGCTGCATAGGCCACGTCAGACTAGCTCTGTTGTTGACATGACGGTCACATTAATCCAACAAGAGAATAGTGAACACCGCACTGTATTGCGTTAGTTGATTCACACGGTAGCTTGCAGCCAAAGCTTGTTTTTCCAGACCAGAGGCTTAGTTCCAATTCATTAGCCTAAAATGAGTCATAAAACCAAAGCTTGTCATCTAAAAAGGATCCTCCAGCATAATCTTCAAGCCACTTTCTTATTTTTATGTCGCTGTTTCCCACCACACCGCGCGCTCCCTCGTGTCCTGTGCTGCGCCGCCCTGGCCGCTGCCACCGCAGTGCCACGCACCGCTGACGCCGCCTCTGCCGCCCCTAGTGCGGCGTTACGGCGCTGACCTGGGGCCACAACGACCGGCGCCTGTTCGTGGCCACGGGCCCTGTGGTGCACGTGGCGTGGATCGGACGCCGCGTGGCGCCTCTGCAGCTGCTCTGCCGGCTGCGCATCAAGGACGCGCTGGCGGCGGAGGAGGCGGCCGGCCGGCTGCCGCTGCCGCGCCGCGTCCGCCTGCAGATGGCCAGCCTCTTCAGCTCCACATTGCGGGTCAGTGGAGACTGAGTGGACGCCGCGCGCCGCCATCTTAGGTCCCGCGGGTGCCGGGCCGCCGGCGTCTACACGCCGCTGGAGCGGGCGACGCCG